GGTTGTCTAAGGGAAAACCCAAGGACAACCAAGGTTCCTGTTTTAAGTACAAAAAAGTCTCGACACTGAGCACATGACAATTCAGTTACTTCATTCTCTTTTGCTTTTTTTTTTTTTTTTTTTTGTACTGGGAATCAAACTCGGGACCTTGCGCACTTGAGAGTCAGGCGCCAGAACCACTGAGCTAAATCCCCAGCCCACTTCATTCTCTTTTGATTTACTTCTCTAGGAAATCCTCTAAGGGCCAGGGATTTAGCTCAGTGGCACCGTGCCTGCCTCATAAGCACAAGGTACTGAGTTTGATTTCTGGTACCAAAAAAAAAAAAAAAAAAAAAAAGAAAAGAAAAGAAAAAGAAAAAGAAAATCCTCCTCTAGATCTATAGCCATAGTTGAAGTTAAGGAGATCCCTAGTGAGTAATTCTCTCTTGCTCTGATGTGTCACTTTGAAAGCCCAGTGTTTAACCACGAGTTTCTAATTGTCCTACAGTGTCCTACTTCCTTGCTAGGAAAAGATTTACTAGCAAAATCAGGGGCACTTGTCAAATTCCAACAAAGGCCCAAATGGATTTTGCCCATTGGAACTACTCAGGTCCCCCTGACCTAATTAGCCAACAGATGGATGTTGCTGGAAGAATACCTAACTTAAGGAAACACTTCTTCCTCTACATATCAGAAAAAGGAATTGCTTTGAGTGTCTTGACCCAAAGGCTAGGACAAGAACTCTACCCAATGGCATACTTTTTTTTGTACTGGGGATCAAATTTAGGACCTTGCGCTTGCAAGGCAGGTGGCAGCACCGCTGAGCTAAATCCCCAGCCCTACTTTTCAAAAAGTTAGATGGAGTGGCTGCTGGATGGACACCCTGCCTGAGAGCAGTAGCAGCTACAGCTATGCTAACAGATGAAGACTTTAGGGCAGAAACCAGAAGTCCTGACACCCTATCAATTCAGAGCAATTCTTGATATCAAAGGTTACTTTTGGTTAACATGGGAATGGCTGGCCAAGTATCAGGCCATGCTCTTAGACACTCCTGAGGTTATAAAAACTTGCACTACTCCTAATACTGCCTCTCCGATGCCTGCAGACCCAGAAGTTAGCCAATCTTTTGAGCAAGTGATCTCCCACACTTATGCAAATAGGCAGGACATCAGTAACCTGCTTCTCCAAGACTCTGAAAAGGTGTGGTTCACTGATGAAAGTAGCTTTGTCCAAGAAGGACATCAAAAAGGTATGCAGCTGTCAGTTTACAACAGGCCATTGAGACCAACTTTCTCCTCGGACCTCTGCTCAAAAAGTGGAGCATGTAGCTCTTACTTGGCCATTGATATTAAGAAAAGGCAAAAAGTTAAATATCTATACAGACTCCAAATATGCCTTTCTGTTGCCACACTCATGCAGAAATCTGGAAAGAAGAAGCTTGCTGACTAATAAGCAATAATCTGTAACATACAAGCAGGAAATTCTACAACTCTTAGAGGTAGTCCATCTTTCCAAGCAGGCTGCTGTCATTCATTGCAAGGGATCCCAAGGAGACATGTCTGAAGTCTCCTTTGGAAATCAAAAGGCTGATAGGGAGGCAAGAAGGGCAGCCCTACAGCTCCTCAAGACCCTAGCCTTATTCCCAGTGCCTGAGGAACCATTCTGGTCCTTCTTCAAGGGATGCAATGACAAGCTATAAAAGTACGACATGGGAAATAGTCACTAGAATTCTCACAGGACTAAGAAGAAAGCTATTCCTGAGAACACCTGAGGCTCCTCTTTCAAAACCAAGATGGTATTGTTTCTCCAGGAACAAATAAGTAAAGTCACTAATAATCTAACTGACCACAGCTTAAATGGGCACCTGTACTGAGCCTCCCATTTTTCATTAGATCCATTCTGTAGGTAATCTTGCTAAGGCTATGGCCCTCAGGTGCTCAATAATTTTATCTAACCTCCCTCTTTGCCATACTTTGTCCTCTCTGAGAAGCATGGAAATCTGACCTGCTCCTCATATTTTGTTTTTTTGGGTTGGTTTTTTTTTTTGGTACTGGGGATCAAACTTGGGTCCTTGTGCTTGTGCAGCAGGCATTGAAACCACTGAGCTTCATCCCTGGCTCTGCTCCTTGTATTTGGGTTCTATATTTCCAACATAATGGTACAGTTACTTTCTTTCTCCCATCAAACAGTCAGCTTAATAGTCACTCATTCTTTTCTCATTGCTGTCTTGTTCCAGAATGGTGGAAAGAAATGTATGGAGACACAGAAGTTGGGTAAAAAAACAAAGCCTTTACTCACTGGTGAGGGGGATCACCAGAAACTCGTCTGATCAGTGTCTGCGCTGTGCTTTGTTTTAACATTTCCTTTTATATCTTCTTTTAGCCATTACCTCATTTCTGGTGGTCTTAGTAAAATTTCTGTTTGTCTTTTACAACTAGTTCCTGTTAATGGTTATAGTCGCAGACATATATCAAACAGAGGGCACCTAAAACACATACATTGTAAACTACCCAAACATTTCTACTTTGCTTTTCTCCAGGTTAAATGTTATCTACAGTTAAGTTACAGGTCAAAGGTTCAGTTAGCCATCACCTTAAACAATAAGAGTTACAGGAGAGGTAAATCTTAAAGGAACAGATTACTTATTCTATTTCAACTACCTTAATAACTAACCTATAGTTTAAATTTTCTCTATCAGTCTAACAGTTTTTCTCTTCAACTCAGCCAGTGAGCCACAACACCCCAAGGTAGTTAGCACAAAATCCCCAGAAGGTAGGGTCTTCAGCCCCTTTCAGCTGGAAGAAGCTATAGAAGACAAGAGACCTCCACTCCCTCACACCTCATAAAGAATTACAGGGATTTGGGTCTCTCAGGAAGAAACGAGACAGGAAGGTAGGCTGTACCTAAAACTGGCTAGGAAAGGAGGCGTGACAAGTACGCATAGCACATGCGCAGAACAGTTCCCAAAGCTCTGCGTGTGGACTTCTTACAAGAACCCAAGCAGGTTTCCAGTAGGATAGCCTAGACCCGAGGTCAGCCTGAGGAGTGGGTGACACAAAAAGGACTGTCCACATTGAGTTTTTGTCACTGTGCTCTCTCCTGCATGGGGGGACACCCTCACGCTGTAGGGTGCACTACTTTTCCTACTTTTCCTTGGCCCAAACTTGCTCTGCAGAGCCTATGTCTTTTCCTACCTTTAGTAAAACTTTGCTACCATTTGCGCTTGTCTTACTAACTCTGTTTAGGACAAAGAACCTAGAAACCACCTTCAGAAAGAGAGTCCAGCACCCCAAACCTGCTAACAATGGTAAATGTTTGCCTATGAAAACATAAGATGACAATTTAGATAATCTTACTAGGTAACTGATTGAAAATTAGTGGCAATTAAATCCTTTTGGTTACCGTTGTTGTGAAAATCTTCACACCTACTAACTGAACACTCATTATTCTACAAAGAAGAATATTGATCTCTGCCTATACAGAGCTAGGCAGATGGAAAGATAGGCCAATGGAGGGCCGGGGATTTAGCTCAGTGGTCCCGGCGCCTGCCTTGCAAGTGCAATGTCCTGAGTTCGATCCCTGGTACCTCAAAATAAAGAATCTTTTTTGAACTTCTGTAACATTCTATATTGTCCTAGTAGCAGCAGGACCCCAAAGTCTTCAGAATTTCTATTAAGTTTCCCTGCAGTGCAAAAATTTTTTTGGTACTGGGAATCAAACTTGGGACCTTGCACTTGCAAGGCAGGCAGTGGAACCACTGAGCTAAATCCTCGGCCCTGCAACGAGATTCCTGTTGGAGAGGTGGCATTTTTACAAAACGTCCAAAAATCAAAATCAACTATTTACTGAGGACCTACTATATGCCAGAGGTATCAGTGCCACGTAAATACATAAAGATCCTGTATAAAATGATTATAGAAAAAAATTACCTGCTACTTTAGGGAGTGTAGGCCACATAAGCTAAACAAGTTCAGAAAAAAGAACCAAGCCAGGTGTGGTGGCACACACCTGTAATCCCAGCACTCGAGAGGCTGAAGCAGGCAGACTGCAAGTGTGAGGCCAGCCTGGACTATATAGTGAGTTCAGGACAGCCTAAACTACACAGAGGCCCTGCCACAAAAATGCAAAACAACAGAAGCAGAAGACTGGACAGGAAAAGGAACATTATGAGTGGAAGGATTAGCATTAAAAAAGGGCCAGGGATTTAGCTCAGTGGTTTCGCCACCTGCTGAGCAAGCGCAAGGGCCCGAGTTCGTTCCCCAGTACCAAAAAAAAAAAAGAAGGTGCCGAGATATGGATAAAAGAAAAACAAAAAAGTTTCTGCACATTGTTGTAAGTAAATAATAAATGTACATGGCAGTGACACAGGGAGCATTACGTAGAAGAAAGGAGTGGAAATAATGTTACATGAGAAGAGTCGGAAGAGCTGGGCCTTAGGAATCAGGTAGCCAAGTGATGAGAGGGCATGATAGAGCTGGTCTGCCAGGGCTAGATACATGACAGAATACCTAGCATACTGAAAAAATACGTCGGCATCTCTAAAAGGCCAGATAAAAAACACGAGCAAGTTGTAAACAAAATGTAATTAATTTGTAAGCAGGCACTGAATGTTTACTGAGCCCGGACTTGGTGCAAAACATCAGGGAAAGGACCAAAGAATGGTCCTTGATTGTCCGGATAGAGTAGGACATATCCATTCGAGGGGACAGCTGGTCACCACCACTGAAGGACACAGCTCCCCCATGGGACAATCTCCGCATGCAGTGTTAAGGAGGGGGAAACACGCCCCAGGGCAGACGTGTCCCTGCTGTCAAGGAGAAGGTGCAGGGGAAGACTGCCTGTTGCCGTTTTCACGGAAGGGTATTCAAGCTCGGGAAGGATTTGCTCCCTGGGAGGAAGAGATGGAGACTGGTGAGGCTGAAAAGACTTCTGACGCCTCACTTTTTTGGACCCTTTTGTATTTAACATCACATCACGTATAATACTACCTGTTAAAAAATACTTTTTAGAAATTTAAAAACAGCTCATTTCTTTTTCAAAGCTGCTGCCCACGTCACCATAGATTCTGGGCCCTAACTTCCCCTGCCCTGTACAGCAGGTGCGCTTCCCCTCCACGCACCGTCAGCGGGTACAGCCGCCTGTGCTCTGCACGCAAGATGAGAAAATTAGGGCTTCTGTTCTCTCCCCTTCTAATGTGCTCCGACTGCCCGCCCGTATCTGATGCCCATGTCTTTGTTCTGCCTCCCTCCCACGGCCAACGACATTTTCTTAAGTCGTAGGAAATGAGACTCTGAAAAGAAAAAAAGAAGTGGGGGACACAAGCCCAGGCTTCTTCCAGCGCTTGCTCAATCACGTGGGGCCTCTCAGCCCTAAGGACATGCCCTTCAGAGAGAAGGGGATTTTCTCTCCAGGCCACACGGACCCAAACTTTTGGTTACCACGTGCCTGGCCACAGCCAGTCAGCAGCTCAGTAACGCGATCGCCACGGCCTACCTCCCACCCACGAAGTGACAACAGGCTCAGCTGGAAGCACCGCAGCCCCGCCGCCGGGAGAAGACTGCGCCCGGACCGGAGAAGCGGAGAAGCTCGGAAACTGCACACGGCAGAGGTGAGCGGGAGCGGGTGGGGACCGGCCGCTTGTGAAGGTCCGGATATATCCAAGTTCGCACCAGGAAGGGCAGAGCACACTCTGCCCCCTCTGCCCTCTCCCTCTCTACTTACACTGCCAGCAAGGTTTGCCTCAGAGCAATGTCCGGGGACCTTTTCCTGATGTTTTTCTCCTTTGCCTGCACCCTTTGCCCGTATATGTACCTCCAGCTCCTCTGTGGTTTTGGGGTTTTTTAGCAATTGACAGGTAATACAAATAGCCTGGGTTTGGCTTCCAAACTGCAAGAAGGAGCAATTCCCAGCAGGGCAAACACTCAGGAAGCAATTGCCTGATCCGATCCTCTCTAATCTGCCATCCCCTGGGAGGGGAGGGGCAAATCGCAAGTTTTAAAGTCAGGAAGGGTGGGGGGTGGCGAGCTGGACAGCTAGGTCAAGGCTATTTCACTGTAAATGTCCAAGGCCTGAAGGACTGCCACGAAAGCTGTCTGGTGAGAGGCATGGTGTCAGGGTGAGGGGAGAACTGGCCAGTGGTTTTCAGGGTCCTCTACAAACCCTTTGGGGCCTAAGACAAGCAAGACAAGACGCTGTCTTGTGGGTCGTGGCAGTTTCATATGCTATCTCAACTACATTTCTCTCATTGGGATACAGAAATTCAATTCAGGTTGTTAAAACGCAAATGCACTAATCACCAGCTTCTGGTTGGAGACAAGAAAGTCCTTAGCACAAGGGAAAGGCGCTGAACTGTTCCCTAGTGAATGGTGGACACACTCTGAGGGCAAAAAGCAATGCTTTTCATTTCTTTATGTTATTGTTAAAATTTCAGCCAACACTTCCTGCATGTCTGCTGTTGATCTCATAGTAAACAAAACCGGAAGGCTGGGAGCCTCTCAGGCATGCAGTCGGGTGGGGCAGTAAATTTCAATGCTGCACGTACCAGGCAGTGCTGGGAGCAAAGCTAGCAGTACAGCAACAAACCATAGGGAGTGTTTCTGTCTCTTTTTGGGGGGGGGGGGTAATCAGGGATCAAACTTGCGTCCTTACACTTGCACAGCAGGTGGCAAAACCACTGGGCTAAATCCCTGCCCCGAGTGTGTCTGTCTCAAAGTTTAACTCTTTCTGGCAAGCATGTTATCTTCTGAGTATCAGCCACCCTTCCACCTGCATATGCCTCAGATACCTGGAGACCTTGGGTCATAACAGCTTCTCAAAACTCTCTTATTTTCTTCCCCAGTACTGGGGCTGGAACCCAGGGCCTTTGCATGGAGCTACTCCCTGGCCTTGTTTTTTGTTTTTTGGATTGTTTGTTAGAGACAGGGTCTTGCTATGTAGTGCAAGCTAGCCCTGAACTCACTATGTAGCCCAGGCTGACCTCAAACTTTCGGCGTTATTCCTGCCTCAGCCTCCCAAGGGCTGGGATTACAGATGTGCACCACTGCGCCCAGCTGTTTTGTTTTGTTTTTGAGACAGGGTCTCGCTAAGTTGCCTAAGCTGGGCTCAAAGGTCCTCAAAAACCTCTTCACCCGGGACTGTAGGGTATATTGTTGTGTTTCACACCAGTTTCCCCAAGCCTGGAGGGACAGACTGCTCAGCTCCTGCCTAGAACAGAGATGGCCTAAGAGCAGAAGCCGAAGCAAGGAGAGCTCCAATGCTGGCCTTAGTCACCCTCATCCTATGTCAGTATCCCACTTCGGAGTAGAATCTGTGCCAACCCCAAAACACAGGTAGCACCAGGGCAAGTGTTGGGAGCCTGGACTTTGCCAGAAACAGTGTGGAGTTCAGAGTGAGTCACTTCTGTGTCCAAGTTCATCTCAGTACCTTTAACATCGGAGAGGTAGGCCAGGTGAGGTCTTTTTGTTTTGTTCAGTGTTTATCCTTTAAAACTAAACTATTAAAGTGATTTTATAAGATATTTTAAAAAAAATAACACACATACACGTGAAGGTGATATATCTTACAAAATAGGGATAGTTTTCAGCCAAGCAGAGTTATCTGTGAACCCAGAATCTGAAAGAAAATCTAATTTGGGCTACAGACAGATCTCAAGATGCAACCATCTCTGCTTTTCTCATTCTCACTTTCTTCCTCTACTCCTCTGCTGTATTCAAATTCTTGAGGTCAGGAACATCAGCCATAGGCCCACTGTTATTTATCTAGACTGCGGATTTTTCAATAAAAAGCCTGCAGACTTTTATCTGCTTTCAACAGAACTAAAAAGTATTTTGGGCCGGGGATTTAGCTTAGTGGTTTTGCCTCCTGCTGCGCAAGAGCAAGGACCCGAGTTCGATCCCCGGTACCAAAAGAAAAAAAACAACACAAAAAAACAAAAAGTATTTAATTTAGACACCCTCACAGTACATATCAGATTCCCTTTAAGGGAGAATCAATCCATTGTTACAAAATATTAGAAACTTTGCTTTTGGTGTATTTCATTTCTTTCTCTTCCTTGAATGCATTCCCTTCGTAAATCACTATTTTCATACCCTCCCCCTAAAAACTTGATCATTTGGAAAATCAGATTCTATAGTATTACTTTATAAAATAGGGTAAAAGCTAGCCACGGTGCTGCACGCCTGTAAGCCCATTCACAGGAAGCTGAGGCTGGAGGGTCACCGCAAGCTCAAGGCCAGCCTGAACTATACACCGAGACCCTCTCAAAAATAAAATAAAAAAATAAAATAAAATAGGGAAAAAGCATGGTATTTGTCCTTGTAGCCCATGTATCTGCATTGTACCTGGCACACTGTATCTGTTCATTGAAAGAATGATTGATATTTTAGAGAAAATGTGTTTTTTAGTAGTAAAACACATGTCCACCACTCATGGGTGATACAGGCTAACTCACCTATCGGGTACATTTCAGTATTGTAACTTAGCCTGCATTTGTTAACATCAATGCATTCTATACTTCCTGCACTTTTAATTTGTATAATGAGCACCAAATTCAAGTTCTGCCACTAAATATTTGTCAGATTTGAAGCCAAAGACCAAACATCTTTATGCCTTCATTTCTTCAGGTGGAAAATGGAGGCATCAAAATAAAACTCTAAGACAACTTCCAGTTCTTAGATTAGCGAGACTTTGAAAGGTAGAGAAAAATAATTAGTGGGCCAGGGATTTAGCTCAGTGGCTAAACCTCCGCCTGCCTTGCGAGTGCAAGGTCCTGAGTTCGATCCCCAATACTCCAAAAATAAATAAATAAATAAACAAATAAATAAATAAAACCAAACCAAAAGAATTAGTCAAGCTGAAAAGAGGAAACCCAATAAACATGTGATAATTGTAGTACGTTGACATTTTCAATATTTACAATGTCCCTAATTTTACTCGCCAAAATTTCTAACCTGACTGCTCTCATTGGCAAAAATATTAAAGAAACTTCCTGGGACAAACGCTCATCTGCCCCTATGTCAGAGATCTCCCCTAGAAACTTGCTGACTGAGGTCTCATAAAACTGAAAACATGTCTACAGCAGATTGGCTCAGAGAGCAGCTGCTTCGGCATAAAATATTCAGTATACCTTAGAGGACTCGGCCACCTAGAAAAATATCTTGGAAGTTGGCAGCTGGGCATATTGGCATAGCTGAAGATCAAAGGCATGTGAGGAAATGGTTCATTGCTTCTAATGAAATCAGATGTCAGAGATAAATGCATTGCTGCTCCTACAGCCAGAGGCCTTTCCACAGGCAGGCAGGAGATAGAGTGATTTTCCCTGAGCCGAGTGGAGCAGAGATCAAGGGTAGAACTGCACCACCAGGTCCTGCCCTCTCTGGCTCAGCAGCACCCAGTTTGCACACCAGGGCCCCATGCCCCACTCCCACGCCTCGTGGAAAGAACCAGAGCTGCCTGCTCCAGGGCCAGGGTCTTACTGCACTGCTAGTCAGCCTCGTCTCTCTTGGCTTTTGTCTTTAATTTTAATATCTGCTTCTATTTATTTATATTTCATTTCCAGGCCCCATCTCAAAAGAATCTGAGGTAACTTGAAATAAAAACGATATGTACAATAGAACAGCTGCAGTGAAATAAAAACTGGCTGGAAGCCATCGGAGTCCAAACACCTTTTACATTGTTTTGATGGGGAGGGTGTGAAGTGTAGAGAAAGCAAACAAGTGCTTTACCTGCTACTGGTTTGATTTTAGACCCTGTGAAATTATTAATGAGAGAGGAAGAAGAGCAGCTGCCACAATCATTCGGGGCACTAGTGCTTAATCACAGTTACCTTTAACAATCTAATGAAAGCTATGAATCCCTAGACTCTGAAAAATACACATTAAATAATGAAAATAAACAATATGCTGGGCATATCTGGCACACACCTGTAATCCCAGCACTCAGGAAGCTGAGGCAGGAGGATCACTGTGAGTTTGAAGCCAGCCTGGACTACACAGTGAGTTCAAAGCCAGTTTGAACTACACAGTGAGACCCTGTCTCAAAAACAAAACAAAAACAAACATGATTTCAGCAGAGACAAAGCCTCCTCAAAACCCTTTAAGAACTAACCAGGAGTGGTGGCCCACACTTATAATCTTAGCACGTGGGAGGCTGAGGCAGGAAGATTGCTGTGATTTCAAGGCCAGCCTCAGCTATATAGCAAGACCCTCTCTAAAAAAACAGGAAAAGCTGGGGATTTAGCTCAGTGGTTCTGCTGCCTGCCTTGTAAGCAAAAGGACTTGAGTTCGATCCCCGGTTCCAAAAAAAAACAAAACAGGAAAAAAGAAAGAAAAGGGTAGGGGGGCGGGGGTGTAGCTCAGTGGCACCGCGCCTGCCTTGCAAGCTCAAGGTCCTGAGTTCCATCCTTGGTACCAAAAAGAAAAGCCCTTAAAGAAGTGAAATTATCCGTATTAGAGTAAGGGGAAAGCTAATCAAAAGGAGAGCTGGTTGTTCTAGGGATTTTCAATCCCTACCAATGGGCACTGAATTAACGTATAAATGTTTCCGCAGTTTTCTAACTAGGTGAAATATACTCAGAGTACAGAAGTGAGAAGGCAGAAAAGGATACATGGT